ATCTACGACATTTCTTTGTGAGGTCGTACAATCTGTTTGGTGTAGATTACATCGAAAACCCTCAGATTCTTGAATTCCTAGCAATGAAAGTTGAGGAAATCTTAGAAAACCCAATGCGATTTTATAAGCAGTTGATTCAGAACCGAGGAGAAAAAAGGGGAGATACAAAAGAACAACGCGTTTCCCAGAAAAGAATTCGGGAAGGCGAGCGATCTACGTCTTCAAAACCTGCCACAGGACAAGGAAATGACACACTGGGAGGAAGTTCATCCAAGGATAGTTGTGCCATCCAACACAAGAGAGAAAATGAAGCAGTTCCTTTACTGCCAACGAAAGCGACTCGAGAAAGCTCCTCAGCTGGAAGTCATCGGTACCATGATCTGAAGGATGTTTACCAGGTTGTCACCGAAGAATTGATCCAAATGGCTTGCCACGAAGGTAACCACAAGGTTGCAGCTATGAACCCTTTAGAAATGTCCTTAGTAAAAGATCTCTTGGGGCTTGTAAGGAAATACAACATCCCTGCTGGAGCGCTTCCTGGATTGTTTAACATCCTCTGGCACAAAAGAGCCTACTACTGGATTTGGATCAGTACTGAATCAGATATAAGGTACCGCGTTCTTGTCGCAATCCAGGGTGGACTTGAACTATTAATGCACCATTTAAAGCAAGACAACTTCTGGGGGAGAAAGAACGGTGAAACATTTGAAGTTTTCTTCGACAGAATATTTGACCCTGCTGTTGAAATTCCTTCCCACCTACGCCACATGCTGCCAAGTGGTAATTTTATACAATCAATGTACAAAGTTGCCAACTGTTTCAAAAATTCGTCAGTGAAAGACCTCAGGGAGATGGGAGAGAAATATCTTGACCTTACCCATCCTGACGACAGTGACATATTTGACCTCTTCTTGGACGTCCGGTTCGGAGATCGGAACAGCAATAGAGTAGAAATGGTACAACGTCTGTTTGTTAAAGTTCTATGTAGAACTAAATCAAAGATGGTGCAACCAACTAAGGAAGACAAAGATCAACAAGGAGATAACACTGACCCCCTTGTAGATTTATTCCAAAGACTGTTTGATGTTTTTAGCAGAGCTGTTGCGAGATCAGTTCAACAAAACGTGGCTAAAAACGTGGATGGCATTCCATTAGACTGACATAACCTCTATTCAGGCTGTTTTCACGTTGTTTGTCATGGTTAGAGTTCGTAGTGTTGTGTAAAAGACAACCGAAGTTTAGCCTTGCTAATGACTCAAAAACTCATATTAGCGTTAAATGGATTAACTTCTTTATTCCAATTGCTTGAAAGAGCACTTGAGACTAAATAAGAACCGAGAGGTAATTATAGGGGGGATTTGTAATCTTG